GGAAGGAAATATTGTACATTTTTTTTAGCGCGTTCTGGAATATTAGGATTAGGCCGTTTCCATACATAACAACAACCCTGCATAATATGTATAAACCACTTTCAACTGCAAAATTTATACTGAGTTGCGATCAGATAATCAGCCTTATTCCGGACACGTGAATAAGGCTTGTTTATTGAAATTTTCCAATATTGGATATTGAGACATTTCAATATTGAAGAGATTTCTTATTCACGTGTACCCCTTGAAAACAGGATTGTTGGAAATTGGAAAACTGTTCTTTAATTGAATAAGTTAAGGCGGCAACACTGTAAAATTGCCAAAATGCCAATGAGTTTATTTATTTATTTTATGTCATACCAATACATTATCGTGTTTTTATACCTTAGAATCCTTAGATACCATCTACATAATTCATCATCACACATTATGGCCCGCGCGGGCATAAAGACACAAAAAACAGTTTTCAATTAACTTATTCTTTATTAACAAAATATAAATTTACGCTGATAAACATATTATTTTTGTCAAAAAATTATGATGTTTGCACACTGATGATAACTTGCGAAGTGACACTTTTTTCCCAGGTATTTATTATTCACAACCAACTGGTATGACATAAAAGTTTGTATGCACCACGGGTACTAATAGATATACCGGGTGTCTACGAGATCAGTTTCGCGCTGGCATTTGGTGAGTTTTTTTTCGATGGCAAAGATTTTTGGTATGGAGTGTAGGTTTGAGTAATGTCATCTTTTGACATGTGTGTCAATGTTTGGTAACTTCCGGTTTGACCGGAAATGGTCCTAACTCCGTAATTTGGAATGGCATCCCAATAATTTTTCCACATTTTTGGTATCTGCGGATCATGATGTGAATACGAATACGTCAAATTTGAACATTTTTGAAGAAATTTCAGAACTCTGGATAAAAATTTATTTTTGAACAGGAAGTGACGGAGCGGTCTTAAAATTGTTATTTTCAACCAACACAATCGTGGAAAAATGCGAATACCAAGTTATTATCCTATGCTTGTTCTCCAAAGGCTTCCAAAGCTGAAAAAATCACATTTTTCGTGATAACTCAATGAAATCAGTGAAATCACCCGACTTTCATAACAAAAGCGTTCTTCATACAGGGGTTCATTTATAAGTAGTTTTAACATTTATAGTAGGTAGTGCATTATAAAAATATTAAGAAAATAATTAAAAACTAACATAAATGAAAAGTTCCAATGCATAGTTGGTTTTATTTTGAAAAAGGTAAAAAACTCTTGTTGTGAAAGTTGGGTGATTTCACTGATTTTATTGAGTTATCACGCAAAATGTGATTTTTTCAACTTTGGATGCCTTTGGAGAGCAAGCAAAGGATAACATCTTGGCACTCGCATTTTTCTACGATTATGTGGGTTGAAAATAACAAATTTAGGACCGGTCCGTCACTTTCTGTTCAAAAATAAATTTTCATCCAGAGTTCTAAAATTTCTTCAAAAATGTTCAAATTTGACGTTTTCGTACACATCATGATCCGTAGATACCAAAAATGCGAAAAAATTATTGGGGTGCTATTCAAAATTACGGAGTTAGGACCATTTCCGGTCAAACCGGAAGTTACCAAACATTGACACACATGTCAAAAGATGACATTTCTCAAACCTACACTCCATACCAAAAATCTTTGCCATCGAGAAAAAAACCAGCAAATGCCAGTGCGAAACTGATCTCGTAGACACCCGGTATATACCCTCGGGCGACTTACGAGCCCTCGGGCCAGAGGCCCTCGGCTTTGTAACACTGTCGCCCTCAGGGCATAATCATCTACTTAGTACCCTTGATACATAAATAACTATTAGTGCCTGATTTAGCTGAATTGGATTGGAATTTAATATCTATCATTTCTTCGTCAGTTATTTGAATTTATTTGTCAATTCTCATGGGTATTCTTTGTGACTCCTTAGATTTGTTTGTTTCTGTTGTTCGGGGTGGCCTTCATGCTTTGGGGCGTTTGTTTGTGAGCGTTTTATATGGTTTATATGCCATATAGAAATATTACAGCTGGTTCAAGTTAGACTAGTTAGAGTGACTCAAACTAACAAACCTTTTGTCATATTCATATTCACTTTTATAATGGAGGAAAAAGGCACATCAAAAATACAATAAAAATGCAATGCACTTAAAAAAATATTCACAGACTTTGGGATGCAAGATGCAATGCAGACGTTCTGCATCTGGAAGAAATTGCCCAATTTCAGAGGGTTGCAAATCCAGAGGTGCTTGTCTCCCGAAGGTTATTTATTTTCTGATTGTTTTCAAGTCTAAAAAGTATAATACGATCATAGGCACTCTGCTTCTTGATCCAAGGCACTCTGCTTCTTGATTTTCTTAGACGATTTTTTGATAGCTCATACCACTCAACAGGAATAAAGAGCTTCCTTACCTTTAATTTTTTCCTTCTAATGCTGCAATTAGCAACGGAAAATCATCTATAATTGAAAATAAAATACCACTCACTTCTATAGTTACTGAATCAAGTTTTGAAAACGACTTTTTTCACACGGCCAAGACAGTTTGTTGTTGCCGTAGGCGAGTTCCACAAGTAGAGCGAGTGTGGAAAAAAGTTTTCAAACGAGTTTTTCACAATGTTTTTCCTACAAATGCAAAATAAAACAACCAAATATGTAATTTTTATTTACCATATAAATAAAAAACTAATAAGCAGCGTGTGAAGAACTTTTTCTCACACTACTGTGCGAAAAACTCTATTTTCAAAGGCAGTTGTAGGAAAAATTCTAAACATAATTCAAAACCCAATAGTTTTCTAATATCCAATCTGCCAAGCCGGTGCCCGAACCACCTGCTTACAAAATATGAAACACTGAAAACTATGTTATTGGAAAATATAGTACACCTGAATAAGATATTCGATGTTAATTTCAATAACCAATATGACGTTCAATAACCAATATTCAATTCAACAACCAAGGAGCACCTGAATAACAATCTACCATATTTTTACAGTTTTCCAATAACCAAGGCAATAACCAATATCCAAGGACACACGTGAATAGGGCTGAATAACCCAACCTATAGTTACTTGGTCTTACGGCCGCTTATGGTTTATGATCGCTTTATATGGTCTTCGACCCTTTTTGCATTTTCCTGTGCTAATAAGGAAAAGGAAGATACTTTGGTAGGCCAGACACCAGACCAACAGTAAAGAAATTATTTGTTCAAAATATTTAAATAGTACGTGTAAAATCGTAGAACAGTGGAAGGAATATGGCACAGATTCTCTAATGGCTGTTTGCACCGATCATTTTAAGGAAGCCTTAGCGATAAGTATTCCTTAAAATGACATTTTTCCATGGAGAAATGTCACTTTAAGGAACACTTATTGCTAAGGCTTTCTTAAAATAGCCGGTGCAAACGGCCATAAGCAAAACTAGTTCATCGTTATACGTTAAACTTTCGGGCCAATTTTGCGCACATCTGTAAGCAAATCTATAAGTTTCTATAAGTCTGTAGCTGCCTAGAGAAAATTTGCAACTCTGCACTTCCTGTAGCTTACGAAAAATCTTATAGAATCGTACATATTTCCAATTGGGTGTTTGGCAATCAATGCATTTTACAGTGCCTATAGAAATTTATAGATTTGCTTACAGATGTGCACAGAATTGACCCGTTAGTCTGCCTCTTTTCTGTGCCTCGATGCTGTTTTGATTTTGCTCCATTTCTCAAAGTTTGGAGAAAAAAATTCAAGAAAGAAGAAATTTGTTGTCATGAATCTAAAATCTATGGTTATGGTTATAAACACAAACACTAAACACAACAAAAATCAGTTCGCGATTGCTACCGATCATCGCCGATCGACTAAGAACTATCGCGTAAGCTGTTATATTTTAACAGTTATTTTGCTGAAGCAGCTTATCACTGTTACTCAATTTTCAAAAAAGCTGCTGCCCTGCCAACAACATAACCTAACTTGGTCGTTTGGGGCTAGAACTGCCCCCCGATTCTCAACCTCTAGTCGCAACCTATCGATCCCGTCTTCCCATTAACCCTTTTCACGTGGCTCCGGTTTGTTTAACAAACCGCAACATACCGCTCAAATTCGAGTGGTAGGTATCCATCACGTCACTTTGTAACCGGGTTAGAAAACGGTATGTCGTTTCTCTAACCGTTTTGTAACCCGGTTAGTTAAACCGGAGCCACGTGAAAAGAACTCTTGCCTTTCTACAAGGAGTCGGGACGTTACGTATCGACTTAACAATTGAGAATCCCACTGCTGGAATTCCAATGTTAGAAAAATGCCTGGCCAAGCAATAGCGAGGGACGCTTTCTTTTTTTCTTCGAAGTATCTACCATTATGATAAAGTCATTTTGATTTTCCATGAACTAGAAAAAGATAGACTGCTCATCGGTGGATCAATTGGTGTATCGCGCTCGAGTCCGAACAGCTGCTTTAAAATGAAACATACTTGCTTGCATGCACGCACGCAACACACGCTTTACTTGCCACCATGCTCTCCGTGCTCCAAGGACCAACGGTGTCCATACCCACGAGCATCGTTCTGAGTAAACTGCTCCTTTTAAGCAGCTATTTGATAGCTGCTACTTCAAAAAAGCGGAAACTGCTTCAACTGCTACTTAAAAATAGCAGTTTTGCCCATCTAATAAGGCAGGTCTTATTTTCTCCTAAATAAGGCAGATCCTTATCCTTAATATAAGGCTGTCCTTATTCCAAATGGAAACTGCGCATGCGCAGCTATCAAAATAAGGCTTGCTTCAATAAGACAAGCACTTGCATTATCTCTCTAATGTTAACATGACCCTCAGTCATAAGCTTACCATTGACACTACTCCCTTTCTTTTTTGGCAAACTAGTTTTCTTATGATTGGCCGCGACAATCTCTTTCGATCTAGCTGATGACGATGCCTTTTTTTTCAATAATTTATGGCCCTTTAATTTAGATGGGTTAAAATATTAGAACAAAATTCATTTCAACTTACCGAAGTTAGAGATGTTTTAGAAGATTTGGTTTTAATACTTGTGTCGCTCAATTTTCGGGCCATAGTTTTTCCGTTTTCTACTTCTATTATTCTTGTTTTATTTTTATAATTGTCACAAATATCTCTGATACGACTGAATACAGCCTTAGGGTCAGTAACATTTATGAGACTTATTTCGTTTATACGATCCGCTAAAAATTCGTCAACTATACGATATAAATGATGTTTTCTTTCGGGGCCTATTCTTTTCTCCCAAGCTTGAGCAAGAAGGGCCGAATCAAGGTGTTCCCCATTTTTAATAGACTCTAATTTGTTCTGTGAGCAAATAATTGCTATGTTAATTTTATTAATTTAAAAAATAATGTAGGTACCTACTTGTAGCCAGGTCAACTTGAATTCCTCATTAATTCCGGCTTGAACAGTGTGTTTTTTTGGATGTAGCATTTTCAAGACGTTTCCGAATTTCAACGTTGACATAGTAATTGAAAAATCTTCTTTTTGTACTTTGATATGACCAAGGAATCTTAAAATTATATAACGCATATAAGCTGTGTGCGTGTTGTTAAGTGATTCTTACCTCATATAACTTTCGTTTGACAAATCTCCGGCCAAATAATAAATTAGAACATTCATCCTTTTATTAACCTTTTTTTTTTGTTCTGAAGGATTTTTTTCTAGTAAGAGAATGAAATGTTCCAGATTAAATTTTGTAATATTTGCAGGTCCGATTTCTTTGGGCTGTTTGTGCGGTTCCTTTGATTTTTTAGTTGTAACGCAAATATCGTTTCCAACCAGATCGATTATGTGCAACTACAAAAAATACTACCACAGTTAAATAGGAATAAGTAGAAAATTTTATTTATTTCACTCTGGAATGAAGAATTGTGGGATTTGTCATATCCATGCTTTTCTTGATAATATGAAATGTCACCACGCTGGTAGCCGAATCCGAGGGATATGTACTTGTTGTACTACAATTTTTTCGACCTTCAGCTGAAATCATATTTAATAAATAAATAAATAAATAAATATTTTATTAACGACAAGTGTCATTTTGAAATGTTTACAAGAACAATATCTAATAATAACTTAAAAAAAAATAATAATTTAAACAGTAATAAATAACAAGGAACATTGCAAAATAGGATTATTCTTAAGCTACTTTATCACAAGTTTTTTTTTTTTTAGGTAAAACGTAAAAACCCACGGAGTACAATAAGACCATTAATAAAAACAAAAAGATACTAAAAAAAACACAATACTACAATAATAGTTGTTGCAACACTGACATTCTTTTTTCAGAGGAATTTAAACTAACATTAAAAAAATCTATGTTCAATCTTCCAATGATATTGTTAGCCAATCTACAGAATCTTGAGATGAGGGAATTTAAGCCATAGTTAGTTCGATGATGTTTGATATAAAATAGTCTGTTTGTTCTAGCGTTACAATTTCTAGGTACATGAAAACCAATATAGGCCAGGGCAGATACATTTTTTCGTAAGATAAAATTTACCAGCAAACCATCGATGCAGTATTGTTAAGGATCATTCATAGATGCTAAAAACCAAAAATGCACATCTAATTACTTTTAGGGGATTTTATAAAAAATATTTAGTGCAAAAATAGGGCTTTTTTTTGTTTATTTCACTGTATTTCGAAAACTAATGATCGGATGATTTTGCTACTCTGGCAATAGTTTTAGAGCATTGAACAAGCTTTAAAATGAGCCATCATACAACCCTGATGTAGGTCTTTTAGTCTTCGAGAAATGATTTTTTTCCCCCAAAAAAAGAGATTTTCGTAAAAAATTCCTAACTTTTTTAATTTTCATGCTAGACCATAAATTTTTTACAAATACTTACATAGTAGATGAGGCAGGCCTTATTGAGCCCAAATTTGGGCCCGGTCCGATGGGTCATTTCGGCATAATACCCTTGTGAAGCAAAATGGGGATGTTTCTAAAACAGTCTGTCGAATTGAAGATAATTTTTTTATATTTATTTTGAAAAGTCTACTGATAAGTCAAAATGCCAAACTATCGATCCTCTATCTCAGATTTTCCATTTAATTTTTTTTTCGCAAGTAAAATGGCTCCGAACATCACTGAAAATGGGAAAAAAATGTAACTTGCGTGGGCGGGGGGAAGCTCGTTGCCTACTCCGTTTGAATTCCCGCCGATTTTTTCCATTTTCAGTCATGTTCGAAGCCGTTTTACTTGCGATAAAAAAATTAAATGGAAAATCTGAGATAGAGGATCGATAGTTTGGCATTTTGACTTATCAGTTGACTTTTCAAAAAAAATATAGAAAAATTATCCTCAACTCGACAGACTGCTTTAGAAACATCCCCATTTTGCTTGACAAGGGTATTATGTCGAAACGACCTATCGGACCGGGCCCAAATTTGGGCTCAATAAAGCCTGCCTCATCTACTATTTATGTGTAAAAAATTAATTGTCTAAAATCTCTTTTTTTTGGGGGGGGAGGGGAGGGGGAATCATTTCTCGAAGACTAAAAGACCTACAGGGTTATATGACGGCTCATTGTAAAGCTTGTTCAATGCTCTAAAACTATTGCCACAGTAGCAAAACCGTCCGATCATTAGTTTTCGAAATACAGTGAAATAAACACAATAAAACCCTATTTTTGCACTAAATATTGTTTATAAAATCCCCTAAAAGTAATTAGTTGCATTTTTGGTTTTTAGCAACTGCTATAAATGATCCTTAACAATATTGCATCGATAGTTTGCTGTTAAATTATATGTTAAAATATGGCTGTTATTTGGCTAAGTGCTTTGGACTAATAAGTGATAACAGATCCGGTGACTCTATGTAGGCCAGGGCAGATAGATTTTTTCGTAACATTAAATTTAACAGCAAACTATCGATTCAGTATTGTTAAGGATCATTTATAGATGCTAAAAACCAAAAATGCAACATCTAATTACTTTTAGGGGATTTTATAAACAATATTTAGTGCAAAAATAGGGCTTTTTTTTGTTTATTCCACTGTATTTCGAAAACTAAGGATCGGATGGTTTTGCTACTGTGGTAATAGTTTTAGAACATTGAACAAGCTTTAAAATGAGCCATCATACAACCCTGTAGGTCCTTTAGTCTTCGAGAAATGATTTTTTAACCCCAAAAAAGAGATTTTCGTAGAAAATTCCCAACTTTTTTAATTTTCATGCTAGACAATTAATTTTTTACACATACATAGTAGATGAGGCAGGCTTTATTGAGCCTAAATTTGAGCCCGGTCCGATGGGTCGCTTCGGCATAATACCCTTGTCAAGCAAAATGGGGATGCTTCTAAAGCAGTCTGTCGAATTGGGGATAATTTTTTTATATTTATTTTGAAAAGTCCACTGATAAGTCGAAATGCCAAACTATCGATCCTCTATCTCAGATTTTCCATTTAATTTTGTTATCGCAAGTAAAACGGCTCCAAACATCACTAAAACTGGAAAAAAATGTAATTTGCGTGGGGGGGGGGGGGGGGGGAGCTCGCTGTCACTCCGTTTGAATTCCCGTCAATTTTTTCATGTTCGTTTTTTTCGATGGTGAATTCGGCTTTGGTTGAAGAAAATTAATGTTTACTCTCTGGATCAGAAGTCACCTAAAATTAAAATTTTACATCATCCTTTTTTAGGCAGCTTGTGGGCATTATTCTTGTAAAGTGTACCACCAAATAAATAAACTCAGACACAGGAATGTTCAAAGAATGTAAAGAAAACAAAAAAAATCTCTAGCGCAGCCTTGTTTCACTCTATCTGCACTGCATGCACTGCACTACTCCATCTGTTCTACTGTATCTGCACTACTCTATCTGATCTACTCTTTCTGCACCACTCTATCTGATCGGAATAGTGGAATAGTTCTGTTCGAAATAGCTCCAGTTCCCGAGTAGCATTATTCTACTGTATCTGCAATGCCAAGCTTCGTTCCAGGTATCAGAGATGGCACGGTATACAAAATACAAAATAAACTTGGTATCGGTTATAAGAGATGGCGCCGTATGCGGGCTTAGTAAATTTTTTCCATAAATAAATAAAATAAGTAGTCTGTTTTTTTTTTAAGATTTTGTGCAAACTTCACATAAACCATCTAATAAATAGTCCGAACAAAGCCTAAAGATTTGGTTTGGCTAGGTGAGCCTTAGATTATATACAGGCTACACCTAGATACGCATAGTCATTCATAAAACACCCAAATGTTTCGGCCAACATCAACAAAGCCCCTCAAACCCCCTCAACGTTTTTATGAATGGGTTTGTTTATTTATTCCACAAGTTTGTGGACATGTGCTCAACACTTAGACTGTGACCGTCCCGACGAAAGCGATCATTAGCGGAGCATCGGTCGGACCAAAATATATTTTAAAATTTAAAAAAAAAACACAATTGGCGAAATATTTTCGCTTTCGCCTGCCTATCAAGATTAAAAAAAATGTATTTTGACATAACGTCGCCCTAGTTGTGAATGGTCGTAATCCACTCAAGGTAAGCTGTGAGTAAACTGCATTTAAAATTTTTGTTTTTGGTGAAAACATTCTTTTTAATTAGCAAATATACTACAACAAGGTCAAATATTGATCAGTGGCTTAGATCTATTTTTCAACATGAAATTTAAACATTTTTAAGTATGTTAACAGTGAGGTTAACAGTCACAACTCAAGAATGAACATTTTGTGGATTACGACCATTCACAACTAGGGCGACAATAAGTGAGAGTGAAAAATGTTTTTTTTAATGTTCTGACTACATATACATACTATTTGCATTTTTTAACGCAAAAACATTAACTTTTGAGTTATTTCTTAAAATTTGAAAATTTTTATACCTACCTGATTGGGCTTCTTGCATGAGCATTAATTTCAATAAAACAACAATGATACAAAGCCAATTTATTTTCAAATGATACAAACAATAAATTTTGATTCACACACACGTATCTGAAAATCTGAAATTAACAAAATATTATAATATACAAACATAAGTATACAATTCTAGTTAAATTCAACTTTGATGCTATTTTTTTGACACCAACCTAGTTAAAATTATATCAAGTAAGTAAGTACATTAAGCTTATTTGCTTAAAATTATAGAAATCAACTACAATAATTCGTAAGCAAATTAATATGTAATATTTTATTTCAATCAAGTAAATGGGATTAAAGAATAATAATTTTGTTCTTTTCATTGATACATTGTTTACATAAAAATTAATCAAACTGCTCTTTTTCTATCTTATCTATCAACATAATTAGGTAAATTAAATAGGTAGATACAGGTAGGTACCTAGGTACACATTTTTATTATTTGTAAAGCTCCATTCTGATTGTGAACGAACGATGCCTGAGATTTGCCATAATGTTTTATTCCATTTCAATGAAATTCTATCGCAGTTTTTCTACGTGAAACCGGAATTAGTTACGGCTGGAACTCTGTAACAGATAATACAATAAATAACAAGTACAGGTGGTGCGTCACTGATTCCACTTATCGGTAGAGAAAAGGTTAGGAAATCCGCATTATTTTTTCCACAAACCAGGCACAGCTGAAGCATGATTCTCTACATGTATTAAATTTAATATTTTTTTGAATAGAAAACAGAGCTCATAATCATTAAAATCACAATAAAACGCGAGAACAAAATCACAAAACAACAAATCGAAAATCAGCAGCTGTATCAGCCATTGCTCAAGAACTGCCGTTACCAGTGATGGTAACATTTTTTTCACGATTCCCCTTTTCAGACAAAAAAAAATCCCTACTTTCCCCTACCAACCAAAAA